TGGACTGATGAAACAAAATTAGAACTGTTTGGGCCCATGGATCAACGCTATGTTTGGAGGAGGAAGAACAAGGCCTATGATGAAAAGAACACCTTGCCTACTGTGAAGCATGGTGGAGGGTCAATCATGCTTTGGGGCTGTTTTGCTTCTGCAGGTACAGGGAAGCTTCAGCGTGTGCAAGGTACCATGAATTCTCTTCAGTACCAGGAGATATTGGATGGAAACGTGATGCAGTCCGTCACACACCTGAGGCTTGGGAGACGTTGGACCTTTCAACAGGACAATGATCCCAAGCATACCTCCAAGTCCACTAGAGCATGGTTGCAGAGGAAAGGCTGGAACATTTTGGAGTGGCCATCGCAGTCACCAGACTTAAATCCGATTGAGAACCTCTGGTGGGGGACTTAAAGAAAGCAGTTGCAGTGCGCAAGCCTAAGAATGTGACTGAACTGGAGGCCTTTGCCCATGAAGAATGGGCGAAGATACCCGTAGATCGCTGCAAGACACTTGTGTCAAGCTATGCTTCACGTTTAAAAAGCTGTTATAACTGTAAAAGGATGCTGTACTAAGTACTAAGATTGAATGTCACTTGGGGGTTGAATAAAAACTGATAATGCTGTGAGCACAGAAAAGACATTTGTGGTTATTTCATTATAACTGTTATGTTATATTTGTCTGACCTACAAGTGCCTCTTTAATGTAAATGTAAGCAAGATGACTGAATGATCAAAAGCAATGTCAAACTGGCCAAAACACTCAATTTCAGTGGGGGTTGAATAATTTTGGACACAACTGTAATAATAATAACTTTTTCTTTAAAAAACATGTTCTAACCAATCTACCTTAGTCCTAGTGAACTAGCCTGTAGTAAACCCAACGACACAGAGCCTTCTTCTGCAAAACCATATTTCATTAGAAACATCTCCCATGAAATACATCTTTTATCTCATCACAGTTCAGAAATGAAAGATATGATATAGTTGTGTCTAATGTTTATCATGCGAATCAGAAATGTCATCAGGGTACAACTTACAGCTGCCTGCACCATTTCACAGGTCAGTCTATCCAATTACTGAAATGAATCATTTGCCAAAAAACACAAACATGTTATGAACGTTGTCATTCCAGAAACTGCTGGCTGCTTACAGTGACAGGGTCCAAACAGGAATGCAGCTAAGTGCAAAGAGATGCCAAAATTTGTCAGACATGTCAGCTGAAAAATCTTACTTTCAGAGATTCACCACACTAAAACATTTTCAAAAACTTGAGGGGCCAACACTATTAGCTCCGTTCATGTTTGAGATGGTTGAACTCTAGCAGAACACTCTCAAAGCAATAACAGGATGTCAAACCAAGTATAAATTATTTTGTTGAAATCAATAGTCCATCACACTTTCCTTAATAAAGCACTGCAGATAGCAGAACAATGAAAGATGATAGCTGATTGGTCGCCATGAATTGCCTTTTGCACGCTACTATTTTCCCTATTCACCCTTTGGTTGTCTGACATTTTTTTCAAAATGAAAAGTACATTTCAAGCCTGGGAATTCACATAAAATTCTCAAAATGATATATTATCTAAATTTTAAGTAAAAAGTACACGCAAATATTTTTCAGTGAACACGAACACAGAATAATCTTCAAACTTTCAATGACATAGAAGAGATAAAAACTGCTGAGTAACTGATAAAGATTAATTCACGTTTAAAAAATACGGTGCACTTACAAAGCAGCAAAAAGAAAAAAAAAAAGATGATACACATAAGTGAAAATCTGACACATTAAACATCTTTACTGCTCAATTTAGAAAAAAAATTTAAATATTTTCTTTAAGCTTAACCTTTAAAAAAAAAAACTTCTGTATGCAGAAACTCCAAAAAACCTTCTGTGTGCAGCTCCCCTTATACTTACCTGAGCCCGATGTCGATCCACGCTGTGCACGAGAGCAGCATCACTGCTCTCTCTCTCTCTCCTCACTGGCTTATATAGTACCATCACTTTTATGCAGCACTTTACATATATATTATGTTTTCAAATCAATCCAAAACCCTCAAGGAGCTTACAATCTTAAGTCCCCGACTCACATTCATACATATACAGTGAAGGAAATAAGTATTTGATCCCCTGCTTATTTTGAATGTTTGCACTCTCAATGAAATGACCAGTCTAAACATTTAACGGTAGGCGTATTGTAACACTGAGACAGAATAGCAACAAAAAATTCAAAAGAAATGCATGACTAACAAATTATGCACTGATTTGCATGTTCATGAGGGAAATAAGTATTTGATCCCCTATCATTCAGCAGGATTTCTGGCTACCAGGTGTCTTTCATACAGGTAACAAGCTGATTTTAGAAGCAGTCTCTTAAAGGGAGTACTGCTAATCTAATTTCATTACCTGTATTAAAAGACACCTGTCCACAGGAGCAATCAAACAATCAGATTCCAAACTTTCCACCATGGCAAAGACCAAAGAGCTGTCCAAGGATGTCAGGGACAAGATTGTAGACCTACACAAGGCTGGACTGGGCTACAAAACTATCACCAAGCAGCTTGGTGAGAAGGTGACAACAGTTGGTGCAATCATTTGCAAATGGAAAAAACACAAAACAACTGTCAGTCCCCCTAGGTCTGGTGCACCATGCAAGATCTCACCTCGTGGAGTGTCAATGATCATGAGAACAGGGAGGAATCATCCCAGAACTACATGCAAGAATCTTGTCAATGATCTCCAGGCAGCTTGGACAACAGTCACCAAGAAAACAATTGGTAGTATATTACGCCGACAAGGTTTGAAATCCTGCAGTGCCCGCAAGGTCCCTCTGCTTAAGAAAGCACATGTCCAGGCCCATCTGAAGTTTGCCAATGAACATCTGAATGATGCAGAGAACTGCTTGAAATTGTTGTGGTCAGATGAGACCAAAATCGAGCTCTTTGGCATCAACTCAACTGCCGTGTTTGGAGGAGGAGGAATGCTGCCTATGACCCCAAGAACACCATCCCAACTGTCAAACATGGTGGTGGAAACATTCTGCTTTGGGGGTGTTTTTCTTCTAAGGGGACAGGACAACTGCACCGCATAAAAGGGACGATGGACGGGGTAATGTACCGTCAAATCTTGGGTGAGAACCTTTTTCCTTCAGCCAGGGCATTGAAAATGGGTCATGGATGGGTGTTCCAGCATGACAATGACCCAAAACACAAGGCCAAGGCAAAAAGGAGGGGCTCAAGAAGAAGCACATTAAGGTCCTTGAGTGGCCTTAATCCAATTGAAAATCTGTGGAGGGAGCTGAAATTTCGAGTTGCCAAATGTCAGCCACCAAACCTTAATACCTTGGAGAGGATCTGCCAAGAGGAGTGGGCCAAAATCCCTCCTGAGATGTGTCAAAACCTGGTGACCAACTACAGGAAATAACTCCCAACAAGGGATTTGCCACCAAGTACTAAGTCATGTTTTGTGAAGGGGATCAAATACTTATTTCCCTCATGAACATGCAAACCAGTGCATCATTTGTTAGACATGCATTTCTTTTGAATTTTTTGTTGTTCTGTCTCTCTGTGTTACGTACAATACACCTACCATTCAATTTTTAGACTGATAATTTTTTTGTGAGTGGGAAAAGATTCAAAATCAGCAGGGGATCAAATACTTATTTCCTTCACTGTATATACTATATGGCCAATTTAGACCTACCAACAAAGCCAGTGAGATGGGAGCATATGGGCAGGCCGTGCTGCACTGTTTGTGTCAATGGACACACACAGTGAAGCTTGGGAACAAGTCTGCATGGGTGCCCCCATAATAAATGGCTTCCTATGGGGGCACTTAGCAGGGGGAAGGAGCCAGGACCTCTAACTGTGGACCTGAGAAGTGGAGGATCAGGGCTGCTGTGTGCAAACCATTATTCAGAGCAGGGAAGTATACCATATTTGCTATTAAAAATACATTTAAAAACATATCTTTACAATCACTTTAATGCTTTTTATTCAATTTTATTTTATTGGATTGTCTTTGACTTTTACTTAAAATTTTTCACTAGGACTTACATGATCCCATGATTCCTGTAAAACAATATAGTACAAGATGCTTGGCTCTTCCTATTGGGGAGAGTAAAAAATATAAAAAATAGTTACACTTTACATATTGAAACAAGTTGTTTTTTTGTTTACACAAAGTTAAAGTGAGTCTGCCCATGTTGACATGTTGACCTCCGTTTCTGATTTTCTGGCTGTAATGTTGATCCTCTATCCTCAATTTTTTACTGACTTGAAAGAAAAATGAAGACCAGATTTCCAACTTCACTTGCTGCATTATTGGTCTGGAACAGTGACTCAGGAAAAAATTAAAACTGGAGACGGGGACATTAATTATAATTTTCAAAGCGCTTTTTAGGTTTTAGCACCTCCGATGGTAGTAGCCTCCATCATTATCTACATCAGTCTACAGTAAAAATTTAGTGGAGGGGTTGTGTTCTTACAATGTGGACAACTTGAATAGGATGTTGCCTCTGCTGTACTTTGAAGTCTGTGGGATGTTATTCCATAAAGTAATAAATAATTACTGCTACTGTCTGAAGAAAGTAAACATCTGTGCTCATTGAGGGTGGGTGTGTGTGTTTGGGTACTTCAGCTTAGTTTATTTAGGGGCTAGAGAGGTGGTTTGGGGTGGTTTAAGGGCTAGTTCACACTATACAAATGCAGTCCAGATGCGCTCCAGTTCAGGGGCGGACTGACAACTCATGGGGCCCCCCGGGCAATAGGGTATCATGGGGCCCCTGTGTCCTTGCCCAAACTCAAAAAAGCCTATGAAAAAGGTACCAGGGGCATCTCATGGGGCCCCCTACTGACCCAGGGCCCTCGGTCAGTGCCCGAGTTTCCAAATGGTCAGTCCGCCCCTGCTCCAGATGAATTTCTGCATGCATGTTTTTGATAAGCTTTTGGTGCTTCCCGGTGCATTTTTTATGTGTTTTTGATGCGTTCTGGTGCATTTTTGATGCGTTCCAGTAAATTTTTTCCCTCTCTTTTTTTCAATTGAAGTAGAGATATGTGGGTCCCAGTGTGTTTTTTGTGTGTTTTGATAAGTTCCAGTGCATTCTGGTGCATTTTTTATGCATTTTACCATGTTCCAGTACAGTTCTGTGCAGGAAAAATGCAGGCTGTTCTACTTTTTCTTCTGCATTTGGAATGCACTCCTCGAACTGCAAGCACTGATGTGAACTATAACATTGACAACCATATAACCTACTTTCTGTGCGTTTTGGATGCAGAAAAAAGCAACTGAAACTCATATAGTGTGAACTGGCCCTTAGAGGATTACTGAACTTATCCTTTAAATCTTGACAAACTACCTGATTTTTCCCTTTAGTATACCATGTTTTTACAAATGAAATGTACAAACCACAAATTTGAGCATATGGCTGTAATTAAATCAGACAACTAATTTACATATACATCATTGACTAAAACATAAACAGATTTATATTTTACACAAAACTATGCTATAGGAGCCAAAGTGACATAATAACCCAGAGAGGGATATAACAGCATGTGGAGAGATATAATTACATGGCATGGGATATGATAACATGCAGCAAGGTAATAGCATGCTGTGTAACATAATAACAAGCAGAGTGAGAGAACAACAAGTGGCAATCTAAAACAACAAGAGGTATCTGTATTCAGATTAGCTTGCTGCATGTGTAAATATGCAAAGATATAGGTTTGTTTAGGAGACACATTTTTTTATTACTTGAAATTTATTTATGGTGACAGCTTCTGCTATTTAAATAGAAATTACCAGACAGACTTTAGCATACATTGGATACTGTGTTACATTGCACCCTGTGGATAAAATGTTATTTTCTTCTAGTTAACAAGACATTACAATCAAAATACATTTAATGCAATTGTAATATTATGTATTTTGTCTGTAATATGCAGTGTCAATTCAATTAATTTTCAGATTAAAGAAGATAAACACTTAGCTTTTATTTGCTCTAAAAATAATGTTGTTTGTTCAGCGTGTCCACTGGACTCTTAACACTGAAAAGCAAACTGTGGATTTGTATTGCTAGGTGGTATAAAAGCATTGTGGAATTGTATACACAAGACAAGGATGAATCAGCATAAGTGGAACACTTGTCCTCCAGAGGATTTACCCCCCTTCCTGACCAGGCCATTTTTTGGGTTACAGCACTGCGTTACTTTAACTGACAATTGCGCAATTAAATTTACATCTTTTTTTCCCACAAACTGAGCTTTCTTTTTGGTGGTATTTGATCACCTGTGCGATTTTTTTTATTTTTTGTGCTATAAACAAAAAAAGGCCGACAATTTTGAAAAAAAATTTAATTTGATCATAAATTTAGGCCAAAATGTATTCTGCTGCATGTCTTTGCTAAAAAAAAAATCTCAATACATGTAAATTAATTGGTTTACATGAAATTTATAGTGTTTACAAAAGGCAGTATAGATACTGGATTTTTTTTTTCACTAGGCGGCGATCAGCGACATATAGTGAGACTGCGGGACTGTGGTGAGCATTCTGACACTGGAGGGAACTGACTTGGTGTCACTGACATCCCCAGTGACACCAATACAGTGATCAGCACTGATAAACAGCACTGACACTGTACTAATGGCACTGGGCAGGAAGGGGCTAACATGTGGGACAATCAAAGGGTTAACTGTGTGCTGTTTCACAGTATGCTGTGTGTGTGCTTTCTGCTGTAAGCACACTGATTTGTTTGGCTCTGCTATGCAGAGCCATATAAAGCAGTGTGCTGGAGCTGAAAGGGGAGAAATCTGTGTTGTTTATACACAGGTCTCTTCCCCGTCAGAGATACTCAGCGATCATAGGGTGTCGGCAAGTAATCACAGGCCAGAACCCAGTGACTGACAGCCAAGACCGCGAATGGTGGTGCAAGCACCCTACCCAGCAATGCAAAATCACGTGTATATATGTGATTTTGCGCACCCCTGCTCTCTTGTAGCAGTATTTCTACTATAGGGCGGATGGGAAGCAGTTAAAGTGATCTTATAGGTTAAAATTTGGGGGGCTTAAAATAAAAAAGATATTATTCTTACCTGCTCTGTGCAGCGATATTTCACAGAATGGTCCCTTACCCCCACTGGTGCTATCCATTCCTTCTTCCTGTGGATGCCCCCATAGCAAGCCTTTGGCTGATTGTGCCCCCAAGCTGCATGGAGTGGATCCATAGACACACACAGCATGGCTCAGCCATTCCACCCACTCTCTCATCAAAGGACTTGACTGACAGAAGTAGGAGCCTATGGGTCCCATTGCTCTCAGAGTCTTCTGTGGGATCAGGAAGAGGGATCAGCGATGCTGCAGTTGGGAATGGTCCTGGATCATGAGAGGACTCAGGTAAGTATTTAATGATGGGAAATGGATAGAGGTATTGAAAGTTTTCTTGCCTTAAAGCAGAACTAAACCCTTCTATCCTTTTCAGCAAAGGAAGCTGCCATCTTAGTCTATGTTTGTTCTGCAGCTGCCTTGATGCTGTACATGTGATCAGTTATGACTCCAGCCATTTGATGATTTGACAGTTTGGTTGAGAGGACAAACAAATGTAACTGATAGCATTCTAGACAAGCCAGGAATGCAACTGATTTTTTGAAACTGTTAAATTGATGGGTTTAATTCAGCTTCAATGCAGAGAATATAATGAATAGGGGAACACGGGTTTCAAGGCACCCTTTTCAAAATGGGATTGCAGCAGCAACAGTCTCAAGTTTCCTGGCACTGCTACGGTTTGCAGGGAGCCTTGTAATTATGAAAAAAAGGAAAGCCTTGAGACCTGGTCAGGTGACCTTAGAACTTGCTGGAATCCTTTGGGGTGGCTATATAAAGGGAAGTCTGGGACAAGCAGTTACCAATTGCAGCTAGAGGTGGACCACAGTGGAGCTCCCCTTGCCTCCCTCTAGGGTTGCCACCTCATCACTTTAAACCCGAACACATGTTAATTACACAGGTTCTGAGGCTAATTGAATGCAGATAAGGCACTAAGTGAGTTTAATTACCACCTTAACCTCCTTAGCGGTATTCCCGAGTGTAGCTCGGGGTAACATTTCAGTACCAAAAGCGGTAACCCCGAGCTACACTCGGGAATACCACGCGGCACTGCTCCGGCATGTGTTCTTCACTTACCTTACCCTGCGCTCCCGCGATGTGTCCCCTGCAGCGTCCCCGGCCATCTCCTCCGGCCGATGCCAGCATCCGGCTTCTGTGTCCTGTCCCTGTGACGTCGGGACGTACGGGCGCCGCCGCCGCCGGCGGCGGGAAATTTAAAAATTTTAAAAAATGTCATTTTTTTTTTTTTACATTTTACATAGTAAAACATTGCTGTCTCAACCAATTTCACATACATATTGTCCCTAGTGCTTTGTCCTGTGCCCTGCCTGCATTTTGTCTGTTCTTTCTGCCTGGAAACTGAGAAACGTCCATGCATCCAAAAAGTGTCCCTTTAGGTCAAAAGCGGTTTAGATCAGCTAGAGAACAGCGATAGTAAATCAGAACCACTTGCAGAATTGAGTGATAATGATTCGTGGGGAAATTCGTCATCAGACACTGAAAACGATTTTGCGACTGAGCTCAGCGATGTGCGAACTTGGCGCTATATTTCAAATTTCAGTGTTTTTGGTTTGATTATATTATTGAATTAAATTTTTTATTATTTTTTATATATTATTTTTATGATTATTTATTAAATTATAATTTATGATTTTGTGTTTCAAATTTTATCATACCCGGGATGTTTACTAGACTCTTGTTCGGACAGATTTCAGTGAGTTATTCCTAAATATTACAGCCTACAATAAAAAAATACATATTTCCATGCAAAAAAATGGTACCGCTTTCAGCACCAAAAATCTGAAATAATCATACCGCCAGGGATGTTAATCAGCCACAGAACCTGTGTAATTATTACGTGTTTGGTTTTAAAGGGATGAGGTGGCAACCCTACCACCCTCGCTGTCACAGAAATAGCTGCTTGCTATTAGAGTAAAAAAAAATCTTTTGACTTTAAAGCATTTTAAAGGTAGATATATTCTGTCACTAGGTATGGTACTAACTTTCCAATATGGAAAAAAGGATGACTTTTGGAGCAAAGTATGTAAACAAAGTACACATCCCGGCCATGCATCCAATTATGTAGCGTACAAAAGAATACGAGTAATATTGCTTCAACTTAAAAGCACCTTTTCCACCTTCTTTTCTTTTTATACTGTCTTTTTCAAACAATAAATGCAATCTTAGAGGTTGGATGAAAGGTTTAGTGGAATAAAACTGTTAAAGCTCAATACATCAGGCCAAAATGAGGGACAACTGAGGATAAAGTAGGAACTGGGTTATTTAGTTACTGAGTAGCAATCCCTCAAATGTGGGACAATAGGGAGCTATGTGAGTGAATCCATTTGTAGCTTTCTTTTTTTATTTGCAGTGAATGCTTTTTGATAGTCATTAACCCATGACACTGCTTTTTTGCACCATTTTACAGACTGGTCTTTGCTTATTGTGGCATTGCCAAGCCCGTCCATAGACCATAGTATCCTCTCTGACCCACAGAACAGCTTGTGGCAAACTGCAGCAGCCATACAGCAAGGGTGAAATGCATGGGTGGTCCAATCATATGAGGAGGGTAAAGCTGGCCATAGAGGCTTCTAATCTCGGTTAGTCCCTGCTGAACTGGCCGAGATTTGAATCATCTATAAGCAGGCTGATTGTACCCAATTTGATTATTGTACAACCAGCCCATCAGATTTTCCATGAAATTATTTCCAGTGGCTATGATCTCTAGCAATAATCATGGTGTTCTCCCAGCAGGGACTGGTCCCCCTCTCCCCCCGCCAAAAGAACACAATAGCTCCGTGGGAGGAATTCCCCCATCAACGCTGACTGTGTTGATGGGGGAATCTAGCAATAATCTTTCTGCAACCCATGGTCGCATCATCTATGGACGGCTTTAGAGAGAGTAATGTATCCTTGCTAGTTAGACAATTTAGAATCAGTGTATAATGTGTTCATTACTTGGCAGATAAGCCGAGAAACTTTAAAGTACATAACAATGTCTTGCTATAGAATTTTAAAATTGTTTAAGGCTCTGTTTACAACTTTTTACAACTTTTTTTTTTTTTTTTTGCAGAGCTGCTGATAATCTGTTGCAGTTCAGTTCCTTGCAACTTTATTTGAAAATTGTTCCAAGCTTTGTTTTCAATATTATTTCCTTGGCAGAGAAGCTGGCAATCTATTGCAATTTCAGGTTAAAACCAATATTTGACAGTTTTATT